TCTTTTAATAAAAAATCAACAGTCTGACATGTCATTAATTTTTTTTTAAATATCAGTGTGATGTGGCGGGATTTATTGTCGTCATTGATTGACTGTGTAAATATAATTTACACTGTTAGTATATGACCCATTTTTTCTATACGAAGAACAAAATAAATAAAAGGAATATTCAAAATAAATGAGATAAATCAAACAAATATGGTATTCAAAGAAAATGATGAAGCAAATATTTGCAAATTTATCTTACTTGTTGAAGAAGAAATGTTAAAGACAAAATGAAAATGGGAGAAACCAACACCTTTAAAATAATGTTTAATCTCACTAATAAAACATTAAACATCTAAAGCAAAAAAAAAAAAAAAAAAAAAAAAGAATGAAGTTTATTTGGACGAGTGAATATTTGATAGAAGAAATGTATGAAAAAGTTGACAGAAGAAAGGTAAAGATTGAAATAAAGATGACATCAATATTGAGACTCGTTTTGAGGGGAAAAGGAGACTAAAAACAATGATGTTAGATCTTATTATTTATTTGATTGATTTAATGCATTTGGAATTTTTTTTGGATCAAAATCAAAAACCAATTGAGTTTTAACTTTGAGATGCATAATTGCAATGGAATTTGATCATTGACCAAAATCAAAGACCAGTTGAGTTTCATTTTTAAGATGCATAATTGAGTTCACTTGAAAGACCAACATATCAAACCGTAATTGCATTTCAATGAGATGCATAATTTAGTTGTCAAAAATTAAAATCGACACTATTTACCCCTAAAAACAACACATGGCAAATTCGTAATAGAGGCATTATTAGTTTTCTAGAACAGGTCATCTTCTTATGTTATAGATAAATTAATTAATTATATTTTTTGTATTTAAATAATTTATAACTAAAATAAAATTAAAAAATATATGGATAAAGTTGAATGGAAAAAAAAAAGAACTAATAAGTTTGTAAAAACAAATTATAAATTCATGGATAAATGCCACTTATCAAATAATTTTTTTTAAAATATAAGTTTATAAGTTAGTAAAAATAAACTATAGGCTCAAAAAGTGGCATAACCAAATATAGCTAAATTTATTTTTGTATATATTTCCATAAGATGTGTAAAATGTACTTACTTCAATCTATATTAAAATTAAATTAAGAAAAACCTTCAAATTTGTTAGATAATAATTAATATTATTATATAATTTTATTGTATTTTAATCTAGATAATTTAGTATTTTATCGTAGTGGAATCTCGTGACTAATAATCTTAAAGGGGTTTGAACTTCAGGATTGAAAATCAACTTTAGAAAGAGTTCATTATATGATATTGGGGTGGATGAATTGTTTCTGAAGGCTGCTGAAAGTTTCTTGTCATGTAAGATAGATGAGCTTTCGTTTATGTTCCTTGGGATTAAGGTTGGAGGTAATCATAGATCCATCTGTTCTTGGAAACCTATGGTGGATTGTATGAAGTCTAGGCTCTCTATTTTGAGGGTAGGTTGATGTCAATGGGAGGGAGGGCAAACTTTTATCAATTTTGTCATGTCTAACCTATCTATTAACTACCTTTCTATATTCAAAGCTCCTAGTAAGGTGATTCGTAAGCTAATATCAATACATAGGAAATTTCTTTGGGCTGGTTCTAAGGATAAAAAAGGTATCTCATGGATCAATTGGAGTAAGGTGTGTAGACCCAAGGTGGAGGAAGGTTTAGGGATTAAAGATTTAGGTTGGTTCAATATTGCTCTGTTGGCAAAATGGATTTGGAGGTTTGTTATTGAGAAAGGAAAGTTGTGGGAAAGGATCTTGGTGAGTAGATATGGAAATCTATCATCCACTTTGTGGAATGGTGAATTGTTTAATTTGAGTGTTACTCCATCACTTTGGTGGAGAGACTTGTTCTATGTGTTGCATAGTTTTGGTGGTTCCTCTTTCTTGAATTTATTATCTGTCAAGATTGGTAATGGTGGCAAAGCTTTATTCTGGTTATCTAGATGGTTAGGGAATTTTTCACTGACTTCCTTATTTCTTGTAATTTGGAGCAAGGTGGGCAACAAACTGGTTTATGTGTCTGATACGGGCTCTTGCGTAGGGTATTCTTGGTTATGTTACTTGATTCCAGTTTCAATATTGTTGACAGTGTTTTTCAACAGGAGTTGTATGAATTACATGAGCTTCTGCAGGAGGTCTTTGTTTGCAGGGAGGCTGAAGATGATGTAATTTGATCGTTCTGCAGTTCCAAATCCTTTACTGTGAAGTCTTTCTATGAGTGGTTATCATCACAATTGGTGGAAGGTGGGGTGGAGGATGAGGTTAAGATGGCTCTAAGTTGGGTGTGGAAAGCTTCATCTTCTATAAAAGCAAAGTGTTTTACTTGGAGAATGGTTCTTAACAGGCTTCCAACTAGAGATAATTTAAGAGTTAGAGGTGTGCTACTTAATAAGCATGATTATGTTTGTCCATTTTGTTTTGTACATGAGGAAAGTTCTAGGCATTTGTATCTTAATTGTGCCAAAAGCATATTGGTTTGAAAAGTTTTGGGGGATTGACTTATGGTGGTGTTGGGTGATTATGTAATATATGTAGATCATTTGAGGGGTTGAATTAATTGCTTGTGTTGAAAAAAGTGCTGCAAAACATAATGCTACTGACTTATGCTCTATTATTTGTTGGTGCATTTGGTATACTAGAAAGCAAATTATGTTTAAGAATGAGGTTTGGGACGTAGAATTGGTTATGCAAAGAATTTTTTTTCCTTTCTTGGTGGTGGATTGGAAAGATAGACAAACCTCTATTTAGGTACAACTATACTAGAAAGCAAATTATGTTTAAGAATGAGGTTTGGGATGTAGAATTGGTTATGCAAAGAATTTTATTCCTTTCTTGGTGGTGGATTGGAAAGAGAGACAAACCTCTATTTAGGTACAACATATAATTTCTTAAATTGTATCTTGGTTTATATTGTTGATGAGGACTTTGTAAATAGGTTAGGGTACTCCTAATATCCTTGTTCATAATGATATTTTACTTATTAAAAAAAAAAACTGAATTGATTTAACAGTAATATACTCTATCAAAATTTTCCAATTGAATTACTTTAAAGAAATAAAATAATTCTATATTTATTTGGTGTTTTGATTTCGACATACTGTATAATTATTGGAAAAGAGTGATGAATAGAAAAAGAAGTTCCCATGTTGTTATAAAAAAGAAAGGACCTAAATAAAGATATTTGAAAAACAATCTCACCAACTCAGATTGACGTCTTTGACCGGACTCACTTTTTTACATACTGCAAACTTAAATGCAATTAAATATTTTCATGCATGAAATGCATGCTTAATGGATTCAATTATGTTTTTTTTTAATGATTTTTTAAAAGAACTAAACTTATTAGTTTAATTCAGTTAAACTTAAATTGAACGTAAATTATTTTATTTTTTATTTTAAAAATTTAAAAATAATTTTTTTTAATTTAATTTATCTGGATGGTTTAACATAAAATTAACTTTGAATGTATAATTACTTTTAATGTATGTTTTCAATGTATAATATTATTAAACTTAAGAGATAGATATTCAGCACCAAACACCTAAGAGTATGTTTGTGTATTTCTTGAAAGGCGCATGCACACCTTTGAGTCAACCATGTTCATTGGATTAATCAAGTATATTATATTAAGTTACGTGTAATGTGTTCAAGTTTTTATTTAAATTAAAAAACTTCAACATCTTTCAAAATTCAGCATTTGATTAAAAATACCACAACATGATTAAACCTCTTGTTCTAAGCCAACCATATCAACCTTCAATCATATGCACCGTCATTGTTTACCCAATGATTATAGGCTAGTTTGTTTTAGTTTTTAAAAATGTTTTGTTTGTTTTTTTTTTTTAATTTTTAGAAATGAATTTTACAAAACGTTTTTTAAAATATTATAAGTTTCTTTTAATTTGTTTTTTATAAAAAAATTAATTTTAATATACTATAACATAAACCTACATTATTGAAAATAAAAAAAAAAGTCAAAATCACAGTTTTTTAAAAAAGTTGTATCTCAAAAATAATTTTTATGAAAAGTTATTTAAAAAGAACTTCAAAATAAGTGATTTTTTAAAACTTTGAGATTCAATTTTTTATTTATAAAATGATGAAATAACTAAAATAACATTTTAAAAATAACTTATTTGTAAAAGCTTTTTACACCAAAATATGTTACACTATATAAATAATTTTTAAAAAAAGTCAAAAGGAACGACCCCTATATAAACCTTTGCCTAGTCATCCTATTTTTGTGACCTTCTCATTACATCAAGATCATCCTACACTTGATCGCAAGAGATCCACTCCTCAAAAGAAAACTTTCCGAAAATAAAGAAAACTTGTATTGTCCTCGTGTTTTATGTGGAAATACGAAGAAAAAAAAATAGTGGAAAAGGAGAAATATTCAATCATTTATGTTGAACTAAAATTTGTTAAAATTATATAACATGGATGTGGTATGGTGAAGTGAACAAAAAAACAAATAGCGTCACATAGAGATGAAGTTGATGAAAATATGGATAATCAACAGAAGATATGATCTATGATATTGGAAAGAGACATGTGTGTGATAATTTACGTAGTGACAAGAAAGAGACATTATTTTTGAAGTGTAAAAATTTTATACGATTGTTAGTCACATTGAATGTTTAATCTAAAGGAAAAAGAGGGTGGATTGATAAATATTTCACTAAATTACTTAAATTATTGAAAGACATATTTCTAGATCGTAATTGTGACATATTAAAACCCAAATTCTTTTTTATAACATAATCACATAATTTTTCTGAATAATTATTTCATATAACAAATAAGAAACCACATTGACACAAAATAACAAAACATTTCCCAAATATGAGAATTTATTCAACCATTGAATCAAATATATTATTTTTAAAAACATGAATTCCTGACCCTTATTTCACTTAAGTGGATTGCTACTCATAAGCGCTTCTTACTGAGCTATCGGAGAAGCAGATGGGGAATGGGAATTTGCCAACTTGTCCTTCTTGTGGGAATGATGATGAAACAATTATTCTTGTTTTGAAGAGTTGCATCCATGCAACCCAAATTTGGATCCAACATGTGTTTAGCTAGGAATGAATATTTGATAATATATCGGGAGCACACAACAAGGATTAACAGATTATCTTTGAGGAGGGTTTTCTCCTCCATAACAACCAAAATTACATGATTCTCAAGATGATTATCGAGATTAATAGATGCAAGAAATCTCATTTGAATGAAGGTCCCTAGTAAAAAGATATTATCATTATTAGGTGGATGTAGCCTAAAGAATGATGAATTAAACTCAATTGTTATGATGCTCATAAAAGTTTAATTAATCAGTCAGAGTGTGGAGGCCTCCTTGAGACACTATTCGTAATTGTTTGAGCAGTTTCGGGCATAAAATCGGCTTCTGCGACTCACTCCATGCTGAAATCTGGGGCATGTACTTCGGAATAAAATTAGCTCGTCGACATGGTAACATGAAACTACAATGTTAACAAAAATATTCCTAATTAGATTAACATATTCGTTATCAAATGAACATGAAATATGCATGTTAAATTTAACCATACCTGGCATGAAGAAACATATCAGCTGATTGGTTAGATAATTTCAATCTAACTTTGAAGTCTTATGATTGGCATGTTTTAGGGATCCCTTCTAGAGAGCTCTAAAGTCTCCTTTTTGAGGATGTGTCCGGCGCTTGCATTCCTCGAATCCTAACACTTGCAAATTTATATATTTTCGTTAGAAAATGGGTACTTTTTGTTAATTTTTATTTTTAACCACGATCTAGATTAACAACTGTGGTGAAATATCAGGGCAATTCACCAAGGCTCGTTTTAACAATTGTGGTGGAATTTATTACCTATATAAGCTAACTTAACACTTTAAAATAGATTGTTCAAAGTGAAATCCTAACTTCTCTTGACTCATCTCAATCTCTCAAAACTACATCATAACTTTACAAAACTCCAACATAGCATCTCCAACTAGTATGAATCAATGAAAGATACCACAAAAGAAGTAGCTAGCTCATATCTTTGTTGTCATTTTTCACAAATATTTTTAAGGAAAGGTACGTACGTGAAACATTTCATAACTTATGATGTTGTTATTGTTTAAAATATTGTCTTGTTTTTCTTGTTCAAAATACAAATGAAGCATTTGTCTTCGTCCAACATAAGATTTATTATTTTCTTGTCATTAAGATGAATTTATAAGTTTTATATTGTTGATTTTGTTAGATAAGTAAATTGTTTAAATTATTCTTGAGGCATTTTTTTTATTAAAGTAAGTTGTTATTTATGTTAAGATAAATTTTGTTTTTTCTTTAGTGTTGGCTAAAGACCTAGGGACCCCTGCTTCATGCCCACCAAGGACCTAATAACATGAGTCCCAGTTATTCCGCCTGCTCTATCAAACCCAGTGTATAACACTTTAAAATATCAAATAAATTATGACAGCTAACAAGGTAAGCATATGGCGGTTTCAACTGCCATAATTTACTAAAATGATATTTTCTAAAAACATCATTTACTTTGCTGCCGCTGAGTAAATATAAACGCCACATAAAATGACATAATAGGCCTAACATGTAACGTTGATCTAATTTGGAAATTAATGGCAGATCTAACTGTTACAATTCACTATTTTTTCTAAAAATAAATAAAAATTTATGTCGGTTATAATTGCACTAATTTTTATGGTTTTGCTATAAAAAAATATAACAAGTACAACCAAGAACACTGATATATATATATATATATATATATATATATATATATATATATATATATATATATATATATATATATATATATATATATATATATATATATATATATATATATATATATATATATATATATATATATATATATATATATATATATATATATATATATATATATATATATATATATATATATATATATATATATATATATATATATATATATATATATATATATATATATATATATATATATATATATATATATATATATAATGTTCCATTTTTTAATATACTAGCAAATGCATTTTAATATTTATTCTGCTCCCTTTAAACAGTCAACCATTATATATATTCTTCACATAGAAAAAAACACAAATTTATAAAATACACAAGTTATTCACACCTCGCAAGAGAGGCATGTGGAACTAAGAGAACTAAAATTACTTGTGCCAATTAGAGAAGGCATATTAAACCCCCACCTTATAGTGACAATCTTATCTAACATCCATTGTTGGGTTATTTATTTATGTGTTTACTACCACAGTGAAATTTTTACTGTAACAATCTTGTCTATCATCCTTGATTAGCTTATTTATGTGTTTACTAACTGTTTCGGACTGACCGAATGGCTAGGCATGACCCAATCCACTTCTGTTCCCAGAATGGCCAATAGCCTAAGTCGTGTCAGTTAAGGGCAAAAGGAAGCATTCTCTTCTCTACCCCTCTATTGAGGAATGTTTTCCAACTGACCCACAGGATCAGCTACCCCTCGTCACATTTCTTCCCGTCACGCACGATTCCATCATCCAAAAACAATCACGACGCCTATGCTTGTGATCACGTTGGTGCTCTGTCCGTCCCAACGACTAGTTTCTAGCAGTTATCTATTCTCTGGGAGCGAATATCTCGCCCGAAAATAGGGACCAATGATCAAGCGCTGGGGGCATTATAAAAACCCTCTCATTTGAGAGGGTCAGATATTCAAAAATCATCCTAAGACATACTCACTTTGTACCTGTCATCTCTTCTCCCAATTCTCACTTTAGCATCGGAGCATCTTGCAGGTACACCCCCTCCTCATCTTTGAAACCCAGCATCACAAACGAAGTCTCTGGCCCACTTCAGGTTCTGATAAGCCAGTAAGATCAGCAGTGCTGTCTGTGGGAAACTCTATTCTCTCCGTCTTTCTTTCCTCGTAAATCGAAGACCAAAGCAGTTCTTTCAAGATTCCGATCATGGTCAGCCATGAAAATGTCCATGATGTTTGCCCATCCCAGTTCTGCCCAACGCTGATCCGGCCATGACAGTCCTAGTTGAGGCCCTTAACAAGACAAACTTTCTGATCCTCCAGCAGAATACAAGAATTAGAGTCTTAGAAGAGTCCCGTCGACCAAGATCTCCTCCACCGAGGAGAGAGCGCTGAAGGTCTCAAAGTCATTCTCCCAAACAAGGAAGACATTGTTGGGTGCTAGCAGAGCCAAACTCTTTGGTTATAAGAAAGCACGACCATATCTCTCCCCAGAGCCAGCACTCCCTAAGAGCCAAGAGAACCAGGAGGGATCTACGGACAGAGCACCAACGTTCACCTCTACTCAGATCTAAGGGTCGAGCACGAATTCCTTCTCCCTGTCGAGATCTCTATCCTCCCTCCAAACGAAGTACCTATTCTCATTTGCGGTCTAGTAGCAGCAGTGACGACGAGCCTTGATGCCTGTTTTCCTAAGAAATCATGGCCACGCACCTACCCAAAGGGCTGGAGAAACCCCCATCCTTGGGCACGTACGATGGCACTACAGATCCTGATGAGCACATCGAGAACATCGATGCCCTACTCGATTACCGTGGTGTTAGATGCACTATCAAATACATATTGTTCCCAATAATGATGAGAAAAGGAGCCATGTCATAGTACAAGAGCCTCTCCTTCGAGTCCATCACATCTTGGAGACAGTTAGGGAGGATGTTCTCCAGACATTTCGGAGCCTCTCGTTGCCACCCAAAGACAGAAGCCTTCCTTAAGGCCATCATTAAAGGGAAAGACGAACCTCTTCAAGCTTATATCGCAAGGTTCAACCAAGAAGTCGTCTAGGTCTCCATGATAGAAGATATGAAGAAGTACTTTCTCGAGCAAGGACTTCGTCCCTGCAGCGACTTTGCCAAGGCGGTTGGCATTTAGACTCCAGCGACACTATACGCCCTTCTCCTCAAGGCTAATGCGTACATACAGTACGAAGAGAAGGAAGATGCGAACACCGCCCAGAACTCGAGGCACCAAGAGAGTGCCAGATCCTCCAAGCACGACGACTCCTTGATAACTCGTTGGGGAGCAGAGAAAATAAGGGATGACCGCCCCCGAGAGTCCTGAGAACACAAAGGGCCATCTGGCCATTTTCACGAATATACTCCACTGACCGTCTCTCGCAAGAAGATTCTCTTCGAGTGCGCCGACTCGGAGTTCCGACAAGCAGAGGTCTGTTTCCCGAAGCAGATACGGCCAAGCCTAACACAGATAAGGCGAAGTATTTCCAGTTCCACAAGATTGTGCCTACATATCCTCATCTGGTATGAGAAATCAGAGGAAACGTAGTTCAGAAAACTAAACCACAGGTTGGTTAAGTGTTATTTTATAGTGACGCTGAATTCGCATTCCAGCAGTTAGGACTAATGCATGTTTGTGATATAATGGAAAAGTAACGTACTCTTTTCTGAAAATGATTTTGAAACACAATCCCAAAGGATAAAAAGGTTTGGATTTTGTTTGTGAGTTTTAATGAAGTGAATTGAATTGATTTCTGATATAGGAACAAATGCGTCGCTTATCGCCCACGAGACGTACACTAAACACTCTAGACAAGTGAGGAGAAACCCCTCACTCATCATTTCCCATATGCTAAGGCTCGTGGCATACAATGTTCATCGTCTTTATTAAGTATCTTAGGATTGTTTGAGGTGAGAAGAGAAGACTCAAAGGAAAAACACTAAAGGGAACTGAAAACCCTAATGTTATCATACAAAGTGGTCCTAAAGTTGAGGTCAAAGAGGGACTATCCTAATTGTTATCATACAAAGAATTTAAAGCCTAATGTCTCTTCTACTCCCACCTTAATCAGAAATTAAGTGGGACTAAGAATCCTAAGGGATCATGTGAGCAAGCACACGTTAACAGTATCTACATAAAACATAAACAAATCAAATGCTACACAAAATAAGCATTCAAGACATAACCTTAAAGGAAAAGATATGAGATTAAGGCATGAAAATAAATGTGGGAAGCAATATCAACATGAATATCAAGTCAAACATTCACTCATCCACACACAAAGGGAACATCAAGGTTTGAATTCAAACCATGCATCAAGAACAAGCTCATACATCAAAGTCATTCTCAAAGATATGAGGCACTCAAACAAGAACAAACATGATCAAGTATCAATACATAAAGATTAGAAACAAACTCAAATGATATGCATCATATTCAAATACTTATCAACAATCAAATTCAAGAAGAGACAAATTCAAGTTGAAGCACAAAGGTTATGCAAACTTCCCTCAAATTATTCATAGGAGAAGTACATGATCATGT